AGTGGGAGGGAGAGAGAGGAAGGGAGAGAGAGAGAGAAACATCGACGTGAAGGGACACATCGTGTGGCTGCCACCCGCACGACCAACCAGGGCTGGGGACAAACTGCAACCGAAGTACGTGCCCTTAGCGGGAACCGAACCCGGGTCTCTCTGGACCGCAGGCCGATGCTTTAACCGCTGAGCCAAACTGGCCAGGGCTTCATTTAATTTTTTAATGGAGGTCTTTTGCATGTTTATATGTGGGTGCAAAGAACTCCAGGTCTAAAGCCAGCAGACTTTCTCTTCTGTTGTTATTGTTTTGCTATTTGCTGTTGCTAGCATTTATTATGCATCTATTATGTACCAGGCACTTGTACTAAGCTTTTTATATACACTGTCTCTCTTTAATCTTACAATAGTCTTATGATATATGTACACCATTGTTATCCCCATTATACAAAAGTGAAAACTGAAGGTCGAAGAGGTTAAGTGACTTGCCTAAGGCCTCACAGCTAACAAATAATTGAATCTCAGCACAGACCCAGCTCTGTTGGACCACAGTCCTAAACACTCCAGTAAGGAATTAAAGGGAGGGAATTGTAACTAGGAAGGAGGTACGTCAAGAGATGTTGGGGGCAGAGCCAACTTGGGGCCACGTGGTTTTTAAAAAGGTTTGCAAATGTGTGTGAAGCTGTAGAACCATCTGCATCTCCTGACTTCTCAACCCCAGTTCCTGCCTTTATGTCTTTCCCCACCTGCCCCATGTGGTCCTCCCTTACCCAGGTGGCATCTGCCTGCTGTTTTCAGGGGCTTGGGATGGTTTCAGTCCCTTTGCAAATGTAGCAAAAAAACACCGTCTGTGTCACGGCCTCTGCTGTAGGACAGCAGCTGAGACTCAGAAATGGGGCTGGGTGCCGTCTGGTTTCTACCCGGCCTCAATTCCCCCATGTGCTCTCTGACCTCATTTTTCCCCTTCGGTGGCTTGCAACACCAGCTGAAAACGTTTCTGGGACACAGCCACCTGGTCTGTGTGCTGGAGGTGGCAGGTGTGTTCTCGCTGATAGGGCGAGTGAGACAGGAATGTGGCTGGCTGGCATGCTGCTTAACCAAGAAGGGAGAAAGTCCGGCCCTGCCGGACCGAGGGCGGCAACGTTTGTGCTGCGGATAGTGGGAAACGGGGGGCAGGGAAGCAGAAGTTAGTGAAGAATGGGTGGTGCTGGGAAGTGCACCAGCTTCTTGCCCTACATATGGTGTTCCTTTGAACTTTCCATTTGGGGACGTGAAGCTGGCTAGCAAGTTTCCTCCTGGAATCCACTCCTAACTCTTAAAGGGTCTTGGAAATGAGCTGCCAAGCCTGCACGTGCTGGGAAGAATCACACACCTGAATCATGGCCATGGATCATTTGGAGACAAAACAAGCCAGAAATCAGGGTACCAAGGACCATCTCTGGAAGACACCTAATTAACAATTAAGGGGGTGAAAAAGGGCGTGTAATTCGGAGTGGAAAGTGTTGAGTCACTTCAATAACAATAACAGGTAACATTTATTGAGCACTTAATCTGAACCAGTCACTGTGCTAAGAGCTAATTGATGTGAATCATCTCATTTATTTCTCACAACAACCCTCTGTAGCAGATATTACTATTACCTCCAATTTACAGATAAAGAATTGGAAGCCCTGAGGTTTAAGTGACTCACTCACATTATACAACTATTGAGGAGCAGAAGCAAGATTTGAATACTGACATTTTTCACACCTAAGTTCCCGAATACTTAGCTTCATTGCTGAATTTAGAAATATGGTTAAAGGGTAACAGAGTGAGGGGGAAGAGAGATCGGCTATGCAGGAGCCCAGATCTCCTCCAAGGCTCGTGGATTTCCTTTGGCTTGACTGCCGTCTGGGAAGCAGTAGGAACCAATAGGATTTACAGTCAGGGGCCTCCCAGGAGTCTGTTGATCTTACCTGCTGGTTTGAAATAATTGCATGTTGTAGAAACCTACAGCCATTTCTCAAGTTTTCTTTTTACACAATAGGCTTGGGAGGGTTTCCGACAGGTAGGCACAATGGGCTATTTTTTCTATCTTGGGCTGGCACATTGTGTGACTACTGGTTCCACCCTGGCCTTCTGGCTGGCATAAGGCCTCTCTGAGCCAACACAAAGATCTCGATGAGCTTCTTCCTTAGGGGAGCCTAGGTGAGCAGGACAGACTTTGGGCTTTAAAAGCACACAGAGAGGAACTCCTTCAGAGTGCCAGGTTAACATCAAGTCCTCCAGAAGAGGTCTTTTACAAAATGGTACCCTGTGACAACGGGTTATTTATGTCCTCGAAGAGGAGTACTTTATACTTAGTAGTATCCTGACCTGGACTCGTCATAGAGTCAAGTTCAATAATAATACCTGTTATACTCTCCAGCAAGGGCTATCACTCTTCTGTGTTTTATAGAATGCAGCCTGCACAGCAGGGCACAATAAACAGCCAATAATAATGTTTACTATGATCATGGTCTTCCCAATGCCTTTCATCTGTGGATCTCAAAGTGCTTCGCAAACACTAATTAGTTAAGTCTCAGGATGGTTCTGTTTTTATAATACATTTTCCCATTTTACAGAAATTTAAATTGAGACCCAGCAAACTTAAGTGGCTTGTTCGAAGTCATGCAGCAAGTGTAAATTAATGATAATGATGATGCTTTGCATTTCATGTAAGGCGTACGCATTACACAGCAAGTGTTTTCTAAGGTGATAGGAGTTCAGGGAGGAAGGGAGGTAGTGAGTATTATTAACTGTTGACTTGATTGGGTAAACTGAGGCTGAGAGGACAAGTCTCCTTGGTGAGGACGTGGCCGAGGATGCGAGTCCTCTCCTCTGACTCTAGGAACAGAGTGTGGTGGCCCAGACAATCCTCAGTTCTCTGAAGGGAGGGAGGCTCAGTTGCTCTCGCACTTATAGGAAACAGAGCTACATTTCGGGAGTAGAACAGGTTGCAGAATGACAGGCATATTTACATCCAGGAATGCGGCTGTTCATGTCCCCACTGAGAGAGGCTGAAGGGATGAGATGAGGCAGTTCTGGAAAGGCAGGCTCAGAACGTGCAGGAGACCGAGGTGGACGGGGCTGGTCACCAGCCCTGCTCCCTGGCATCTTTATGAAACCAGGTCCTGCCTGAAAGCAGCCCTCCCCGGCTTGGTTCTGTGTTTAACCTCATGGATGGGAGTTGGTCCAGTAAGACTTGGGGGATGGGCCATCACTGGCACCTTGCTCTGATGTTACAAGTCCCCGTGAAAGAGTTCCAGGGACATGCAGTATCTTAACGGCTGTCTCTTACGTATGACCAGCTCTCATCCCCACATCTCCCTCTGCCAAGAGGGGTCTGGAATCTTCTAGGGTTCAAAAACTTGGTAGCTGTGGATCCCTTCGTTACTACCTTTTCTTAGCAACACAGCCACATTGAACAAGACAAACATTCTAAGGTGATAAGGGACTCGCCTCCTGAGTCTGGCAACACTTTCTTAGTGAGTAATGATTCTCTACCAAGAGGCAAGTCAGACTCTGCAGAGTGGGGGAGGGGAGGGATGCTGGGGCTTAGGAATTCAAAGGGAGATTTTCCGGCTGAAGATGGAGCTCATTCTCTTTAAAATTCTCTATAAACAAGACATATCAGAGAGAAGCTTGCTCTCCTGCCCCACCCTGCCTTTCCCAAGCCTGTGGATTCCGACTGGTGGCTAGACTTAACAGGGGGCCTTAAAGAAGGGTGCCAGGCCCTTTGTGGGAATGTGTTTCACACACATGAGCGCAATGGCAATAAAAAGTCTGCAGTGAAGAAATCACACCACTGCCCCGCTTCTTCCCGCTCTCATGTTTGAATGTTTCCCCACTCCCCTACTGCATGGGCGGCTTGAAGGTGCAGTGAACCAAAGGAGGGGTGAGCTGTTGCAAGAACTATCTAGAAAATTATTCTCAATGTACATCACAAGCCTGTTCTTCGCTGGGGAGGATTCCGGAAGACCCTCCCACCCACTGGTACTCTGCACAGGGGGCAGTCCTGGGTTGTGCTGCCAGTGTTAGTACCAAAGCTGGCTTAGGTGAGACTTCACAGAATGCAGCTTTGACTCTCTAAGTGCGCCAACGACTCAGACACAGCTCGCCACATCCACTCTGGCACACTGACTCCTGGGGTGACAGTGCAGATAATCCCGCTGGACTCACCAGGACCACATCCTCTTGAGAGATGTGCCCTTACAACAGCTTCTGGCAACAGGGCTCCTAGCCAGGCCGGACAGAGCCCCGGGGTTGTGCTCGCAGGGATGGACAGGGAGATCACACGGTTCAGACACCAAAGGCACCACTGAGTCATATCCTCTACGGCTCTACTGGGTCCGCTTGTTTTTTAACTGCAGCCGCTGATGTGCATTTTATGTGTTTTATTCATTTTGTAAAGACACATCTGCTGTGCTCTGCAGCCCAGCCTTTCCCATCAATCAGCCCACCCACACGACGCTCCCCTCCTGCAAGCTTCTGGATACCTTTGAATGGATTGTGAATGAACGTTGTCATAGTAGCACCTTATGGCTACTATGGGGGTCGGGGTGGGAAGATGGATTTGGGTAAAATTCAAACAAATCCTGACATTTGGAAATTTCTCAACGATTCCCCAAAGCAACAAGCAGTTGGAATTGCTTGCTCTCTCTTTCCTATCCTCTGTGCATTAGCCATGCACTGGGTTGGCCTCAGAACAGCAGAAGTGAAAGACCAAAAATATAATCGAGAAGGCTTTCCTTATTCTACCTTCTGCACAGGAACAGAGAAGGTTTAACAATTCTAAGGATCCCCGGAAAGATTAGACAGGCTCAGGATTCCACCAAATTTCACTGAATGATCACTGCCCGCAGAAACTTACTTCTGGGGAATCCCGGCAGCACCTCTTAGAATCACAGCTGAAAGAGACGAACCCTAAGTGCTGGCGTACACAAACCCAACCTCCAAGTGGACATGGCATGAACAAATGAGATCTTTCTTACCCCATCCATGTGGATCCTGATGTTAGGCACGAGCCGGAAAGGGCTGGACTGCAGACCTCTGGGGTGAGTCCTGCTTTTCCTGCCGTCCTGCAAGGCCAGCACGCCGGGCCTGCGGAAGGAGCCCCCTCTCCCGGAGCTCTGCCCCGAGCGCACGCCGTCCAGAAGGCGCACGAGCAGCAGGTTGGCCGGCAGCGCCTCGATGCTGCAAAACACCAGGGTCCTGCATTCGGGGCACCTCAGCTCCTTGTGGGCCTTGGAAATCCTCTGCAGACATGGTTTGCAGAAGGTGTGCTGGCAAGGGAGGACTTTGGCTGTGACATCGAGCTTCTCCAAGCACACGGGGCACTCCAGAAGATCAAGTAACGTCAAATCATCCATCTTATTTTAAAACTCCAGTCCTGACCCGGAGGGGCAGAGTCCACATTGTAGAGTCAGCTGAGCCAAGAGGGCAGAGCCAGTCTCTTGAGAGCCCCCAAATTCCTGCCTGTTTGAAGGAGAAAGGAAGAGAGGAGAGAAAAAAGTGACTGCTCTGAGAGAGATGCCCCACCTACACGGAGGCAATGTCTCATGAGGCAGTTTAAGTACTTCGTGCCAGCACCCAAGTTTCAGTGACTCATTCTGATTCAGTGCTCGCAGGTACAAGACCCGACTCCTGCCTGCTGGAGGATCCGAGGGAGCACTCAGCACAGCGACTGCTATTCACTGCCGCTCCGTGTGCACGGCAAGGGCAAGGGGGCAGAACGGGCCTGTGGAGGTGGCATACCCACTCCCTCTCCTAGCCAGGGCTCCCAGGGGTCGGTTACCCCTCCAGTCAGTCAGTCTCAAGTCTCAAACCAAAGCGCTCTCAGAACGCGATTTCTGTGAAGCTCACTACCTCTCTCTAGCCTTCCTCCCCTAGGCTTAGTTTATCATCTGCAGCACATGCAGATAAGTTGTCTTCATGGATAAGTTTATCTGAAGCTCGTGCAGATGTGGAGATATTTCCTTCATGGGCACCTTCCCCCTGCGTTTTGTTCTAGCAAGGTACAAGAAAAGCTGCTACTAGAAACCCATTCTCACAGACAGATGATAGCCTCAGAGACAATATTCCTCCCACTAGATAAAAGTCAAGCAGCCTGTTTAGTTACTTTGACCATTGTTCTCAGTTTCAACTGAAGGAGATAGGAATTCTGGATTGTGCAAATACCAAGACGGAGCAGAGTACACAGGTAGGGGTGTGTATGTGCGTGTATGTGTGTGTGTGTGTGGTCCTGTTCCAGAAAGTTTCCTTTTGGATGAATGAAAAGAAGTCTCCAGTCTAGAAAAGTCTCCTGGGAATAGGTCAACTGTCCCTCACAGGTGCCCAGGCTTGGGTGAAGGCAGCAGCCCGAGAGATTGGGCAGGAGGGCGGGTGGCCCCTCTAGGAAGCAAAGTGGACCTGGCATGCCAGGATGAGAGATGGCGCCTGGCCTTCCTGAGACAACCCTCCAAAGATGTCAGCGCCCCGGGAGGTGCGCGCGGCCACTAACCTTGAGCTTGTAACCCCAGCTGAATTCAGCTCAGCAAGATCCGTCAGGCTCCGTCCAACGTGCTTCCTTTTCCCCCAGAGCCACGCTGCTACTGCTTTGAAACTTGAACAACTCCGAGCCTTACTCATTTCACGGGATCGCCTTACCCAGCCCTATTAACCCTTTCACCACTGGGTGGCCCGCGGAGGTTTTCTTCGAGTTCACTCTCTGCTACTGATCCTCCTTTATGTAACTGAGCTGATTTCTGGGAAAAGATTATTAAGGGGCAAAATATAAGTCAGCCCCTAAGGCCAAGTATTTACAGTTTATAATCTCACCTTTCTCAATTTCTCTCCTATCCAAGAAGCTGAAACACATTCAGTTGTAAACATGGGAAGGTGGCTGTGTTTATTTTAATCTTTTATAAGGAGTTCTTGGAAAGGTCAAGCATATTAATGGTAGCTATGATAACAAAGATAAGCCGGCCAACTAAAAGTACTGCTCCTTAAAAATCATAGTCAATCCTTGAATTTAGAGATGTGAGAGGGACTTCGGTGATCTTTTTGTTCCACCTCTTTAAATTGAAAAAAAAAAAAAGTGTTGTGGTAGTACATACACATCTTTGAAAAATCAAAACATAAAAAGGCTTTTAAAAAAAGCAAAAGCAATGGTCCCAGCTCTCCCCCTGCCTAATGGAGACTTTTCATAGCCTCAAATAATGCTTATATTCCTATTTCTTGATTTATCAGTAATATATTTAATGTAAAGTTGCAAAGGTATTTAATAGAGTAATAATAATACTAATACTTAGAACTAGAGTAGCCCTTATCTGTGCCAAGCACCGTTCTAAATAATTCACCTCTATTAACTCATTTCATTCTCTTAACAACTCGATGATACACTAGACTCTTCTTTACCCTTATTTTACAAAGGAGGAAGTGGAGACACAAAGAGATTAAATAGCTCATCCCAAGAGTAACAGCTAGCAGGAGGCAGGTGGTCTGTGCTCTTGACTACCATGTTATATGGTGATACAGCTTTAAGGGGAGGAGAGCTATTTGAAGGGAGCTAAACCTCCTCTGGTATGGCAGGAAGTCAAAAGCAAATTGACCAATCAACTTATTTTGCAGATGAGGTAGCTATGCTCAGAGAGATCAAGAGATTCCTTGACGTTGCCCAGGGAGTTAAGGGTAGAACTGGGACTAAAATGGGGTGCACCTTTTTACTGGGTCTTCCCTCTCAACATAGGCAGCACATGTTTATTATGTGGAAAGTACTTGGATGCAACTCCTTGGGCAGATTTTAAGAGGGGAACCAGAGGCCCGAGCACAGATTGTGGTGGTGCACATTTTTCAAAGTTCTTCCATATCAGTTCTGAAAAAGGAAACATAAATGAAGCTCAAGACAGGGGAGAGTTTTAGGATGGAGCAAATTAGAGGCCTCATTTGAATATGTGTCAAGTTTGAGACCATTTTTAACTCTCTCTCTCTCTTTTTTTTTTTCCAATCTCCCTTTTATGGAGGTCTTCTGAGCTTCAACAATATCTCATGCCCTTCTGTTCCTGTCTTCTTTACGTTTATAGATCCTGTGCTCATCAGTAAGCCTCGCAGCTGGAGGCTCCTTGCTGTCCCTTAGGCTGTTTCCCGTTTGGTAAAGCTGAGCTCTGTCCTCGGTGAGCTGTCCTGCAGTCCTCTGGCCCTCTGAGACATCTGCTTCAGTGCCTGAACTGCTGCAGCAGCAGCAGGGGCAACTTTCTCCCTCCTCTCCTCTCTTGTTCTTTGTTGTTGTTGTTAATCCTCACTCGATGATATTTTCCCATTGATTTTTAGATAGAGTGGAAGGGAGGGAGGAAGCGAAAGAGAGAGAAACATCAATGTGAGAGAGACACATCAATTGGTTGCTTCCTGCACAACCCCGACTGGGGCTGGGGATAGAACCTGAAACCCAGGCACATGCCCTTGACCAGGAATTGAACCTGAGACCCTTCGGTCAGCAGGCTGTTGCTCTAACTGCAGAGCCAAACCAGCCAGGAGTTCTCTCTTTTTCTTTTTTTTTTAATCCTCACCTGAGGACATTTTTTTTTGCATTTATCTTCAGATGGGGGGTGGAGGAGAGAGAAACATCCATGTGAAAGAGTGGTTGCCACCCACACGACTCCAACCAGGGCGAGGACAAACCACAACTGAGGTACGTGCCCTTAGTGAGAACCGAACCCGGGACTTTCTGGTCTGTAGGCTGATGCTCTAACTGCTAAGCCAGACTGGCCAGGGCTCCTTTCTTGTTTTTTTTTTTATCCTCACCCGAGGACATTTTTCCATTCTTTGTTCAGGTAGAGTGGGAGGGAGAGAGAGGAACAGAGAGAGAGAGAAACATTGACGTGAAAGGAACACATCGAGTGGCTGCCACCCGCACACCCAACCAGGGCCGGGGACAAACTGCAACCGAGGTACGTGCCCTCAGCGGGAACCGAACCTGGGTCTCTCAGGACCGCAGGCCGACGCTCTAACCGCTGAACCAAACCGGCCAGGGCTCCTTTCTTGTTCTTAAACACACTCCCTTAGATGCCCAAATCTGCACCTACGTGCACATGCACACACATACTTTCATAAGGACATACACACATGTAACCTTAACAATAACACTTATGGGACACTTGCTGTATGCCATGGACCAGGGCCAAGACTTTAAACAGATTCTCTCTAAATCCTCCCAACCACCCCATAAAGTAGGTGCTATAACTTTCTGAGGGTTACACAGCTTGTGATCTGAGCCCAGGTTGGTCCAATCCCAGAGCCTGCGTTCCCTCCCATTATTGCTTCCCATGTTATAAAGTCATAAACATGTCATAAGTATATCCATATATCTTTGCTGTGCAAATCCACGCATGTGTATACCTACGTCCACATCCTACACTCCAGCTGTTCCCAGGGCCAGCCCCAAAGTGATGGAGTCAAAGGAACTTGGGCTCCTGTGACCCTCACTCTCTGGAATCTGCCCAGTCTCGTGGCCCCTCCATGCCCTATGTGGTCAGTGGTTTCAAAGAGTTTCGAGCCCTCCCGTCCCTGAGAAAATATAAAGAATCCATCTGTCTCTGAAAGGCAGGATGACCCAGGGGCTGCTCTGTGGCATATTTGGTAATTGAAGGACGAGTTAGCAGAACAGCGTTGTGATGGTAGAATCTTCGGCACCAGTGGAGGACAGGGGCAGTTTACACTGAACAGGAGTGGCCTCTTAGCACTTCTCAAATCACACCTTGTAGGTGGTCCCCAACACCACCCACATGTGAGGTTAGTCTTGGTGGAGACTTGAGAAATTTTCTTTTGAAGCTTCTGAAGAAGGGAATGAGTTTTAAATGGGGATTTTACCCTGGCTTACCCAAATGCTACCTTGGCGTCAAATCAGATGAACACCTAGTCCTCAAAAACAAACAGAAGGGTGACTTATGCATGCCTTCCCAGACTCCAGGCTCAGCCCGCACCCCACTGTTCCCACCCCATCATACTCTTGTTTGTATTTGTACTGTTGTATAGTAATTATACACTGTATTAAAAAAAAAAAAAAAACCTATGTGACATGTATGAGCTTCTGCTACTTGTATTTACAAGTGTATCTTGATTTATGTAAAAAAAAAAAAGGCAAAGCTGATCATATTATTCCTCTGTTCAAAACCCTTAGTAGGTCCCCACTGACCATAGGATAAAATAAAAACCCTTCTTCTCACCTAACAGGCCTACATGATCCGGCTCTGGCCCACCGCTTCTGCCTTCCCGTACCCCACACCTCCCCCCCACTCACCCACTTGAGTTCCACTGGCTTGCTCTTGTGACTCAGGGCAGTTTAAGTTTTTCTGCCATGGGGTACTTGTTCACGCTCTTCCTTCTGTGTGCAATATACTTTCTAGTTATACTTCCTCCTCCTCTCTTCCTAGCCACTCCCTTCACCATGCCTTTGTTTTCTTCACACCCTCCTCTGCAAGTTTCAGCTTAAATGCCACTTCCTCAGAGAAGCCCTCCTTGATTCTCATGACCAGAAAGTTTATCATCCTACTCTTCTCCTTCATAACAGTTATCACCACTGTAATTCAGTATTTAGGTTAAAATCATTTATTTGATGCCTGATTCCCCCAAATGGACTGTAAGCTCCAAGACAGCAAGGCACCGAAGTGTCTTGTCACTGCTCTGTCCCTCATATTTAACACAGTGATCGGCATGTAGTGATGTTTAATAAATGATTTTGAATCAGTTTATAAATGAATAAATTGCATTCTTAAAAACTGTGTCTGGGCAGATGTACATCTGTAAGTGGACAACCAGTTTCCTTTGCTGCAGTTTGAAGTCCAAAGCAGATGCACATTTAATTAAAACAATAAAATGTCATTGAAGTCCAGTGAAATGCTATTTTCTGCCTAGATCTGAACTTGAGGCTTGAGCAATTTGTTAAAAAGGGAGGATTAGGAAATGTTAGAGGGGCATTAGAGACTAGCTCTAAGCTAAGGCTTTCTCCTTGATGTATTCAGAGGAGTGAAGGAGAAATCACTAACTTTCTCATTGTGTGATTCCATGTTCTTCATTTTGTACTGAGGTATCGCAAGCTTTGGGAAACTGTTCTGGTATATCAGAAAGAAACTGGGATGACTGTGAAGACTCAAAAGGAGGGAAGAACCTATCCATTTTTGCTCCATAGATGGTGGTTCACCACCTCTGCATCTGGTGAGAGATTCTTACTTGCATTTCTTCCTCTTGATTTTCAATAAAAGACAGTAGTATAAAGAACAGAGTTGTATTCCGTTCTCTACAGAAGAGTACATGGGAGTCCTAAAGGCAGCTGTGTGAGAGGGGAAATTAGAAAAGTAAGAATGCATCTCACTATTTCATTAATATTAAAAAATAATTCAGGCCCTGGCCGGTTTGGGTCAGCGGTTGGAGCGTCTGTCTGGGGTCCAGAGAGACCCAAGTTCGGTTCCCACTGAGGGTGCAGTTTGTCCCCGACCCTGGATGGGTCATGCGAGTGGCAACCACTCGATGTGTCCCTTTCACATCGATGTTTCTCTCTCTCTCTCTCTCTTCCTCCCACTCTAAAAAAAAAAAAAAAAAAATTCAGTTGGTAAACCTAAGTAAAGTTTGGAGTCCAGGTTATTTTATTGTGCCAATGTCAATTTCCTAGTTTTTATAATGCATTATAGTTATAT